ATTGTTTTACTCAGAAAATATAACTGGAATTTTATGACAGTGGTACATATCAAGTTTAAGAAATACTCAACAAAAATGCAACATGTATGTAAAAAATTCAATTTTTTTCCTCACCACAAACATTGACATAAATTGGTGAAAAATGGTGACAACTTAAGGCACAATATACACCATATAAGATACCTTGGGGTCTCTGCTTTCTCAAATAGAAGCCCTTTGTGGGTTTATAATAACATTTAAACTGCTATAATGAAACACAAAAAGAGTTATAGGCCCGTCAAATCAATCGATGAAAATTCTAACTATTGAAACTGAAATAGCCTTGTCTCTTTTATGGCATTGTAACTTCACAGAATAGTGCCAAAAGGCATACAATGGGGATATTGTTGTACTCATCAGATATAGCTGAACGCAATATGGGGTTCTGTACAGAAATAGTACACATTTAAAAAACCTTGTTATATGTGTACATGCCAAAATAGAGAAAAAACTATTTTACTCCAACATTTAGCAGAGATTAGCGATGAAATTGCTATGCAAAAATGTCAAAATAATCTTAGGTAAATAGCCTGTGATGTCTACTTTATATAAATATATACTTCTGTGTGGCAATTTGGTTTTTTGTGATGGCTACTAAACTTACAAGACAAACATACCAACTTCTAAAATTGTTTCACATTTAAATTATATTTTAGTTCTTGTATGTTGTGACCTGTAACTTTCAAAATAGGCTGAAATCCTATTCATATGGTGTACTCTATAAATCAAGACACATAAATTTATTTTGAATGACTTTTCCCAAGCTAAACATATTATGCACGCGTTATTATTGCCTAAACTGTGAAAAAAAGTTTTCTTTTTCTTTTTTTTTTTTATTTTGGGGCTTTTTTTTATAATTAATGAGAATTTATATATGTATATGTGACATCAAATTAAAGCCCTTTTTGTCCTCTAAAAAAAAGGTATACAATATATGTTGGTGCATTAAATGAGAGAGATGCAAATTGTGGTTGAACACAAACAGCAAGAATTGCTTGTGTCCTTAAAGGGACTCTCCAGTGCCAGGAAAACAAATCTGTTTTCCTGGCACTGCAGAATCCTGCAGTGCCCCCCTCCCTCCCACCACCCATCTCATGTTGCTGAAGGAGTTAAAACCCCTTCAGTGACTTACCTGAATCCAGCACCGATGTCCCTTGGCGCTGGGTCAGGCTCAGTCGACGGGGGAGACCTAATGTGCATGCGCAGCGATGGCCGCGCGTGCATTAGACCTCCTCATAGGAAAGCATTATTCAATGCTTTCCTATGGGGATTCCAGCGACACTGGAGGTCCTCATGCATAGGACGTCCAGCGTTGTTTAAAACACTTTTCGTGTTTTAAGAAGCCGGAAGTCCCTCTAGTGGCTGTCTGATAGATAGAGATTGAGAAAACCTGCAATAATTACACTTGCAGGGTTAAGGGTGATGGGAGTTTGCACCCAGACCACTCCAATGGGCAGAAGTGGTCTGTGTGACTGGAGTGTCCCTTTAAGGGTAAGATAAGCTTTTGAAGCTGTGTCCTTAAGGGGTTAAGAGAATTTGAACAGTGAGTAAACCATGCCAACTGAGAAAACTGCACTCTAGCGAAACACGTCTGGGACTGGCTGATTCTATTTATTTGTGTAATATTGCTATCTTTTATAGCCTTTGACTTTAAGTCACAGAAATGTTCATATTTTAATAGTATTAAATAGTGGCATCTTTATTATTGCTCTGCAGTTCTGGAAGTTTTAAAGGAGGTAATGACTACCCTTTATTTGCTATTTTAACTTGAAGATCGTTTCCTAAGTCTTCAAACAAGGAATACTTTTAGGAACAAACTAAGAAAGGTATTGTACCACCTTAAAAGGTACATACACAATCAACAATTTATTGGCTATACATAATGTGAGTGTGATTCACAGAGCATTTATACCTTATTTGGACTTTTCATGGCAATATTGCACTAGATTTGTCTTTTCTTTTCTCTTTTGGGTTTATTTGTGTAATTTATTTTTCACCCTCATTTTCAATGGTAAATGTATATTTCATTGGGGATTGGAGGACATACAGTACTGTGATTGGAAAACACACTGTCAGCACACACAGTTCTGGGATTGGAGGGACATGTTATCAAAGACATACAGCACATTTTATTTATGTATTACTATATTTATGTAGCTAATTGAATCTACTTGAGTCAGGTAAGGTTTTTTAAAATTGTTGTTCTTTTAAAAAAAAGAAAAATAAACATTGTTATTATGTAACATGCAATGATCATTTAATGTGGAACAACACATACTTAACGGAAAACACATGTGTAGTTAACAGAAATTCAACAGTGAAATTAATGATACTTGTCCAGGTTTCAATAACGATATTCACAAAATATATCACAATAATATATTATTATATATAATATATTATGTTCAATGCCATATATATATATTGAAATATACCTTTCCTTATTATTATACTTAAAGGAACACTATAGGTTCAGGACAAATGTGTACTCTTGACCCTACCATGTTAAAAACAATATTCAGCCCTCCTTGCTCTCCCATACCTCCCTTAAATATAGTAAAAACTCACCTTATTTCCAACGTCCTGTGTGTCCACCGGCACTGGCTGCACCTCCAATCCGCCTCCTTGTCTGACATCGTCACAACTGGAAAGCATTGGATTGGCCAATTCTGATGATCTGACCCAGGAAGCACCTCTAGTGGCCGTCTTAGGAGTGGCCACCAAAGGTGTTCCTAGGCTCTAATGTAAACACTGCCTTTTCTCTGTTTAATACAAAAATCCCATCAGGACATGCTATACTCACCAGAATAACTCCATTAAACTGTAGTTGTTCTAGTGAGTAGTGTCCCTTTAAGAGGGAAAACAAGAATCAAATTTATAAATATGAACAATGAGAAAAAAAACTACTAAAAAAGTGGTTACTAATGGACCCTATTTGCAATACCCTGGGTTGTCTACTTTTGCATCATGGGGGTAATTCTCATTCCTGTGCTACCATACGCTCTCAAAGTCAATGTAACCAATGAATTGAATTTCAAGGTAAAAAAACTGAAACACAAGCCTTATATTTGACTCTGTAACTTTTGAAAACACCATAAAACATGTACATGAGGGTTACTGTTATACCACAGACTTCGCTGAACACTAATATTAGTGTTTAAAAACCGTAAAACGTATCACAGTGTAACTGCCATTTATGTGTGAAAAATTCAAAAAACATTACTTTCACTGATGATATCATCGTTGTAATACATTTTACTGTTTTGAAACACTAATATTTGTGTTCAGTGAAGTTTCCCGAGTAAAACAGTACCCCCCATGTACAGGTTTTATGGCGTCTTAATGTCACATCATGCCATGTATTCTGGTATCCAGTACTCTTTTTACAATTCTTGTTTAGTTTTTCTTGTTTTTTTGGTTTTCTATTCTATGTCTGGTTTTCTTTATGCTGGGATTTCTGGGTTTTTAAGTGTAATCCGTCCCTGGAATTCCCAGTGTCCAGGTTTCCTTTAAATGTTTGTTTTATGTTGCCACCCCCATTTGTTTTCCATTTCCCTTTTGTTTCAGTCTGGACCTGCAGCAGTGTTTCAAGTCTCTGTCCTTTCTTGCAGGTAAGTGCTATTGTGGTTTAGTATGGTTCTTTTAGCGAACATGGGGTTCTTTAGCCGAATATGGGGTACATTGGCGTTGTGGCAGGCTTATGCAATTTATGATTATATAATGTAACTAAATCCCCATACTTTTCATATATAGTGCTTAGTTATTTCTCCTCTTGTGTTGCCTATTATATCTTGTCTTGTTTTATTTTGTAATCCCAGTTCATGTACAGTCCTGTCCTGCCCTGTTCTTGTTTTCCTGATGTCTTGTGTACATGTTCTGGGTTTAGCTTCCTATCCTTCTCTGGTTCTGGGTTCTACTAGTTCTGTCTTGTTTTCATGTTTGGTGACTATCCTAGCCTTGCCTTGTTTCTGTACTGGATTCATGTCTGCTGCAGAGCCCCCCTATCCAGTTCCTGGGAGGTCTGCATATCAAGCTCCTAGTTCCTGGGATCCGCTAAGCTGCAACAGGGTCTTGGTTTGTGGCCGCACAAACGCTGGTGCTCAACACCAGGGGGCGTGTGGTTACTCTGCACCGGGCCATGCAATCCACTTCCATGCTGAAGACTCCCACTTCTCATCAGACACTCAGGGGTCCCGGTTTCCGTACCGCCACCCGTGACACTTAGAAAGTTACAGGGTTAAATATAGTGTTATCATATTAAATTCTCTGGACTTTCTGCCTGGGTTATCAGGCAGGTCCCGCAAATTGTAATTAATAAAATGACTTAATTATGTAAAAATATTACATGTATTAAGGCAATTTGCCTGCATTTGTGGGAGGTGCTGGTTTTCCACCCCTAGCCTACTTAAGGCACTCCCCTTGCCTGGCTCCTTACCGTTCGAGGTCAGCGTTGAATGAGGATCCACTTCCGGGTTCTCTCAGACGCCATCTTGGTTTCAGTATCCAGGAGGTTTCACCACGTTAAGCTGTGTCCAGGAATCCTGTTCAGGCCTCTCCGCCCGTCCAGCTTCTTCTGACTCCGTTCTCCGTCGTAGATCGCGTCCCAGGGACTCCTAAACCGTAAGTCAGACCTTCCTGTCACGCCAGGACTGGTTCCCACGGCGTACGGTACAGCACGGGTCCTCGCTTTACGGCTTTTCCCTGGTTATGACACGAATGTTTTCAAGCCATTCG